GGAGCAAACAGGAGTGTTGCCCTTGGCTGTGGTGCACACCTCTACCAAATGATGTGAGCAGAACAGCAGCAGTCTGGGTGGTATGTTAGGAGCATGGAGTGGACACACTGCCTGTAACTGTTTAGTTTTTAAAAAACTCATTATTAAGCAGATGTGTAGAGTATTAAGGAAATTTGTAGAGTATGTCTGACTGTATGAGTGTGTGGGTGCTGTGCTGTGGTAAAAAGAGACTAATTGGTTTATGCGGTTTGTTTTGCATACTTTAGGCCCCTGTATGGGGTTTTTTAATTAATATTTATTTCTCAGCAGAGCTTAGAATAATTTTAAAGCTGTGTAACCCATCATTTAATGAATTCTATTGTCATCATCTGTTGTAAACATGTGTTTACAAAACAAAATCTTAAAATATTTGATATTTGGAAATAAAAAATAGCAGATCATGTGTGTTTTATTTCTGACAAAGAAAAAAAAGCAACAAAAAAGGTATGTGGGTAACTGTACAGTCATTCTGAATGAGATGCTGAAGTATTTGGTCTTTTAGTCCTTAGTTAAACAAAACCAACTCTTTCCACTGAATTTAGCGACCACCGAATCACAACTAAGTATTGATAGTGCTGAAATAAACTGTAAAATTCCAGTTTCCTCTGGCATTAATTTTGATTGATATTTTATGCTAAGAAATACAAATTTGCTTGAAATAGATATTGACAGTTGGAAAAAATACACAGTACAAGTCTATGTGCATCTGTGCTGCTCAATAAAAGAGGGGCAGGGCATGAACCCATGTCCTGGCCTCTTGAGGTCATCACCTCTTAGTGCTTAGTTCACTCCTTGGCTCTGATTTGGACCACACTGACAAACTCCCCCCATATGGTTTGTGGGAAGCAGCTGTGCTACTGAGATCTCCCACATAACAGAAGTGGCTGAGCCAGGTTTGTTTCCCCCCCTTCCTGCAGCTACTTAGAAGCACAGTCTGTGTGCCTTGGGGACCTCTGTGTCCTCATGCAGCGCTGCAGGGACTGCAGCACACACCGCACTACCATGCCATAAGAGCTTTAGTGGTTGCAACACAGGTCTTGTATTACCACAGACATTTAAAAGTTAAAACAAATGGAAATTATATTTTGGATCCACAGGGACATCAGCACAGAATCAAGGGGAGACCCAGGACTAAGTGCTTCTCAATGTGGATGGGGCCAGCCTGGTCTAACAGTGTGGATGTGATCTTGTTCATGCAATTTGGTTTTGGAGCTAAGTTTTCTACTCTCTAGACTCACCTTCATTTAAAAAATATAGGTGCGTCTGTGGATGGAAATTCTGTCCCAAGGCAGCCTGGTCTTTCAAGATCAAAAGAACAGCAGGTTGAAGTTGAATGTATTTTTCTGGACATGTTTCATTATTGAGCCTTTATACTCAAAGCGTTTTGACCTGTAGTGCATGTTTCATGGCTGGATGAGCTGTGACTTGTTTCTGTGAAACTTCCTCACAGCTTGGCATACTATGAATACCACGCCAAAATGACCAAACAAAGCTTTGCTACCATGAGGCAGCTGAATTTGCATTGATTCAAGACATGGCTTGTCTTTCTGAGATGTCTGAGTGCATTTGGTTTCAGACCACAGTCAGAAACTGCAGTGGTGTGTAGAGCACCTACCAGATTTGAGTCTTCAGCTGGCAGTGCCGTTTTAGCTGATGTGTGCAGCCAGGGAGGAGCTATTCTGTCATGTATGGCAGAGAAATCTGAGGGGTTCAGATCCTCTGACTTCCAAGTTGAAAGTTACTTGCTTTCATTTCCAATGCTTATAACCACACACACAAAAAAAGCATCTTGCAGATCCCCCTGAATATCACTGGTGTCCTAGACTAGAACTGTTAAACCAAGGAATGTGCTGTGGGTGATGTTACCGTCAGTAGATTTCTAGCACATCAGGGGTATTGTTGCTAGCTGAAAACTGAATAAATGAGCTACCTTGGCAGGGGTTGGAAGTGCAGGGAAGTGGTGCAGGGGCCAAGGAGAAGCACTGTTGTGAAACTCTGCACTGACAGCTGCTGCCAGAGCAGGAGTAAATTTACCCCAGGCAGATCTGAGGTGGCTCAGGCTGTGATTGCATCCCTTCAACTGCTTTAGAAATGGCTCTCCAGCTTGCACTCCACTTAATGTATGTCGGTTCTCACTGAAAAATGGTGTGGGCTGAACGGGTATACCACACTATTGCACCATTCCCTTCTTTCTCTCTACCCATGTATTAAAAGAGAAGAAAGCATTTTGCTTGTTTCTTTCAAAGAAATGGACTTTCAAACAATGGAGGACAGGTGTTTCGTACTGGGTAATTCTCTGCATAAAGATATGAGAGGTAGTTTTATGGGACCTTGCTTCAACTTGCCTTTGTTCTTAAAGTTCTCCCAAACTCGCTGGCTCAGCCTGGTCGGCACCCTGTTTTGAAATACATCCTGTGTTTGCTGGTGTGCTTTCCCGGGGGTAGGCGTCTCTCAGGTTTCTATCTAGTATTGCAACGACTGACTTTCGAATATTTAGGTTAACCATTGATCCCCTTTCCTGATTCCCACAAAAATCACCTGTAACTTCATGTCTGCAGGAACATCAGAAGAAAGAATAATTCAAGAAGCATAGCTTCATAGAAACATCGAGTGCAAGTAAGAGAGAGTTTACCTTGAAACTTAAATTCCCTTTTGTGACAACTTTTGTGCAAGGAGACGCTCCTCTTCGCTAGAGATCTGTGGTCCACTCTCATTAAGCCCTGCATGTCCAGCCTGCTGTGCTTTGCTGTCACAGGAGAGCTCTGCAGGGAGGAGGGAAAGCAGCAAAACAGGGCATGGCACCATGTAACATTGCTTTACTTCTGGAAATGGCTGGTTATGCAGCTGGGTGCATTGGCATCAAAGAAGAAAGGGTCAAATTAATTGGGAATTAAAAAAAAAATCACAGCATGTCTTAAACAAAAAAATATATATTATTCACATCTCCAGGAATAATTTATAACTAGCAAAATGTAGTGTGCAATTTTGTTACCCATTGCTTTAGAAGTGGATAGATTCTTAAAACTGAAACTGTTAACATATTTTTAAAATATACCTTAATTAGGAGGAAAACTGGATCATCTGGATTTCTCTGAAGCAGGTAAAGTAAAACACTTTTTATTTCAAGAAATATTGCTTCTAGACTTTCCCGAAGCCAGAATTGTACTATAAAAGTATCACAGAAATATTATACAAGATTTAAAAACACAGTCTGTATCCTAGTAACTTAAAACATTTGTACAAATAGCATCATTCATGACCATAAATACGTTTTTCTATCAATCAGCCCATGACACATACATCAGATAAAGAGCTAGTAATTTTAACATATTTACAGAGTCCGTCAAAAAGACTGCTTCTTAAAATTATTAAAATCCTACTAAAAGAATGTCCTTTTTAAAAAATTTCAACTTAAAATTCAATGCAATGAATGTAAGTTTATCCTGCAGTGCTTGCAATAGCCAAAAAATACTCACTACACTAAATAATAACATGTAACAGATAGGAAACACATCCATGAATTGGACACTATGGAATTACATCTGTTTGAGGTAATCCTCTTGTGTTTTTGTTGTGCTAATTATTTAGAAATGTATAAAAAAGCAAGGGAAGATATTAAGTTCTGAGTAATGCAGATTTTCAAAGTCATTTTTGTATTATACTTCATAAAATTTAATGTTTGGTAAAGTTCAAGAAAAAATTTAGAATACACCAACAAAAATAATCTAAACTACCATTTTTTACCTCATGCGCCTTTTGTATCAAATAATGTAAATCTAGCATGATTTTATCATTCCCTTTAATGCCTGTTCAAAACAAAAAGAATTTGAAGTCTCAAAATTATAATAATGCTTTCAAGATATTGTTCAGGATAATAAAAACCAGATGTGATGATATGTATTGATGTAAACCTTTCTACCAGTATCAGTTAAAAAAAAAAAAAAGGTCAAAAAACCTCATGGTCTTTTAATACTGACAATATCAACATATAGGGAAACAATCCAATTTAAACAAATGCTCCTACAGTTAACAATCATTAGCCATACCTTTCTCAGAGTAAATTTAATTAAAGTAACAAAAACATGCAATATTTTTGCTAAAATAATATTCAAAGAGTCTGTTTCCACAGTCCATCCTGTTTACCTCTTTCCTGTCAATGTATTTATTGGTTTCACAATTACATGAGATAATGAGCAAACTAAGAACAGGTAAGGTATTAGAGTCATAAATGGTATGGCATACAGATTTTAAAAGTGCATTTTACTTAAAAGCATGACATTAGGAATTTCCAGTGGTTAAAATAATTTATGAAAAAGACATGATGTAGACAGACTGGGTGAACTGAAACATTCATTCATGGTGGGATCATTTGGAAATAGAGAAAGTGACTTGAACGTCCTCTTCAAAGAAATAATTTTTAGCTTTCGGATAATGTGCTGTTGCATTTGAAAGTTAACACTGTTTCTTTCCATTAAAAACTGGAAATCTTGCTTCCCAGTGGGGCGAATTGCTGTGAAAGTATGTGCGTGTTAATTAAAAAAAATGCACACAAATACTGAACTGGGCTCAATTTAGCTGCAAAACGTATCTACAATAAACATGGAATGTCAGTTGTCATGATTATCTTTATTAGTTTGCTAATAAGAAAAAGGAGAATTTATTTAATGATTTACAACTTGATCTAATCCAAGGAGAGTGGAGCTGAGGCACTGCCTTCTACATTTAGGACTTGTGAAGTTTCCCCTGCAAGACTCTGCTCTGTTTTATTTAAGAAAGTTCCTGTTTTCTGGGTACCGATAGATGAATCCCTAATGGATACGTTTACAGCCTGATGAACAAGAGGTTCATCGGACCTCATGGCAAGATACATCTGATCTTCAAATATATCTTCCACAGCATCACTGTCCTGATGAGTGTCTTTCTGAGGAATGCTGATGGATTGTAGCATGAAGCTATGCCGGGACTCCAACTCTATCAAACCATTTCCACTGAAATCCATATCGAAACGGTCCGATTCTTTATCCTCCATCCGTTTTTCAGCTTGATGATTATTTCTCCAGTGTGCGTCATTCAAATTACTTTTCTCAGGAATATCATTGTTTAATTCAAGTTTCCTCTCCTGATTTAAATTCACTGTGCTCAAAGTGAGGGCTGCAAAGTCTGTTGGCACAATAAGCTGCAACTCTTCTGCAGGCAGGCCGCTCGATTCTTCAGCAGAAGTCATTTCCACCAAGATAAACGGCGTGGATGATTCGTCCCTGTCCCCGTTGCTTTGAGCAATGTTAGTCTTGTCTGTTTTGTTTTGCTGGTAGTAACTGTTCAGCAGTGCAAACATTCTATCTACATCCTTCAAGTAATTAGTCCAGTCAGCCAGACTAAGTCTATAGTTGTATCTGTGTTCATATACACTTTCATTCACACTGTACAAGTCTTCCAGTCCTTGCCAGTTGATGTCGCCAGTGAAATTGGGCAGGTTAACCTTCCCATCCATCCCATAACTGTCCTCTGTTGAAAGAAAGAATAAAGCCTAATGGTGAACACCAGCTTAAAAGCAAAGCTTCCATGTGTGCTTCTACTCCAAGTTGGTCAAAAGCACCACTATTCATAACGTATGTAGCTCAAAATGTAAGACGCTCCACATCTTCTGTCATCAGATTCATGGCTCTGGCCTCAGGTGTGTTCACAGCTCCTGCTAAACACACAGCAAGAAACCCTCTGCCTTCTGCTATGTCCATGGACTAAGTAAAAAAAGAACAAAATCTGGTCTAAAGGGGCTTTGTGATGACATTCAGAAATAAGTCAAGTCTTTCCTCTGATATTTCAAGGCAGGAAAGTTACTTCAGTACAAAAATGATCCATTCACCTTTCCTGAACACTCCACCAAAATATGCAATAAATGAACAATGGTTAAGTATAAAAGATGGGACTAATTCTAGAAGCCATTAGTGACCTGAGCTTCAACAACACCCGCAGGAATTTGATAGCTTGAGACATATGGTCTACAAACCAACCAGCCGCATTTTATTTAATAAATGTTAGCCAAAAGTAGTTACTTTGTATACATTCATTTTAATTTACATGGAGCAATTAGGAGAAATAAAAGCTGTAAAAGCTTGGTGTGAATTAATTTATAGGATTGCACCACTCTGAAAAATAGTGTTAAAATATATATAGATGTAAAACCTCTGAAAGGTTGTTCTTTTTAATTAAAAAAAAAAAGCTTTCAAAGAAAATGTCTAACAGTTTTATCAAATAGTAAGTTTGAATAAAGGGCATACATTTGACTCTATAAGTAGCAATGGAGCTGCATTTTATATTGATCACAGCCAGAAAAAGCAAAGATGGGGAAGGAAATCCATTTCTAAAAGATTTTTTAAAGTAACAGTGGCTATAGTGACCCAGATTACCAAATGTAGTGTGAAATTTTATATTGACAGGTAACACTGAACACACTATTTCATTTAATTCACAGTGCAGACTGTGTTTAGTCCAAAGATTTTATCAACAAAGCGGAGTACAAGTGAAAAATAATCAGGTAATGCAAAAGCCTGTCAGGGAAAGTGGCAAATTTGTCCTTAATAAATGATGCTGTAAGCAATATTTAATAATTTGTTCACTGAGATGACTTGTCGTCTTTCTGAGAATTGGACAGGCAGGTAGGCTGGTAGCAATTAGCATGGAAGTTCAAGTGTCTACAGTCCAACAGTGTGAACTGAGCACATTTATCTATACTGAACCCTTCATCCCTACAGTGGATTCTTGGCATCTCAATTAATTCTTTTGCATTTTAAATTACCCTTTCTTGTTATTCAAGTAAAACAGAAAATACACCTTGTATCTGTCATAACTTATATTCTTTCCTTTCTACTAGCTTGGAAAGAATTTCTCCAATACTGAGTCCATCATATATAAGTCAGAAAAATACCATTATGGCCAGAAAAAAATCTTGTGATTTTCTTGTGATGAGGAGACTTATTCTGCTCCTACCAAAGGGAGATCACTTTCCTTACTTGGAAACACCAGAATCTTTGCTCTTAATTGGTATTTTTTTCACTTAATACAACAGATGTAAATATTTTACAATGTAAAAATTTAAATGTCTTATTTTTTAAAGCAAGGTCTAGAAATATTTTTTTTTTTTTTTTTTTTTGCAAACACTTGTCAAACTTCCTGTTACAGGAAGCAACACAAGCTTTTTGGATTTGGTAGGACAGCTATGACAAAGTGTCTTCTTTTTTTCTTTTCCTGAAGTAGACAAGAGAAATGAAATCATGGCATGGCCATATGAGAGCCGTCTTCATAAGTCAAATTATGGATAACATTTCCTGAAATAAAAAATAATTAAATACTGCAGAGGTTTCAAGACAGAAAAGTTAATATTCCAGTGCTTAGAGGCATGAAGGGCTCTAGAAAACATCATAGCAAGGGACGCATTTTTGAGGCATTTAGTCACCAAACCCTCTAAGATAGTAACCACACTACCAATGCAGCAATATTTAAATTTTGCTCTGTTATTTTGTATTGATAGTTTCATATTTTTTTTTTTCTTTAACAAATCAGAGGCTGTATAGGAAAATGAACTGCTCTAGGAACAGTCAGTGGCCAAAATGGTTTGGTATGTGATGACAGAAACTGATACTGGAGTGCTGCCATTTGACCAGTAACAGGTCTGGGGATGGATCAGGGCAGTGTGGGTCAGAGCAGGAGCCGGAATAGTGCCTTTGGCCTCAGAGAAGCCTTTGCTGCCTGTTGCAGGCAGTGGGACAGAGGGTTGAGCTGAGCAAGCCAGGGTGGCAGGGTGGGCAGTGGGGAAGTTGGGGGACCAGCGAAGAGGACCAGCATTTCTCATCAGCCTCAGCAGCAGGGCAATGGGGCTGTGCTGCAGAGGAGTGAGGTCAGCAAGGAGTCTGATATATTCCTGCAAAACAGTTCAAAGACTGAGTCAGAGATACATGGTCCTTCATGCTGAATCTATTTTTCCCCTCTCTAAATGTGGCATTGTTTCAGCAGTCTCAGAGGAGTTTCTCAGCTGGGAAGGCACTGGGAATTGTTCTGTGATCTTGTCAAGCAGAAGAAAATAACTTGTTTAAACACATCAGAGGTAACTTGTATTCATACATGTTAAGTGAATAGGAAAGCAAAGTCTTGAGGTCCTAGAGCTGACTATATGTTGGCTGACTGAGCAAGTTACCTCACTGCTTAATTCCACAATTTAGCTGTAATCTAAGTGTACTGGGCAGGAAGGAGAGAGGAAAGAAAAGGTTTTCCCCTGTAAGAAATCTCATTACAAATAGATGTGAAATGAGAAAGTGCAGATGAGTTGCATTTGAGCAACAGCATGGCAGTGGTTTCCTTGATCAATATTTTGGAATTTCTCAGCTATGTCATAGACCCAAAAGAGAGAAAAACTGTTGCTAACTGTTCACAGCAAAACTTCTTGAGATTTTTTTTCTTAAATCAAGCGTTAGCTAAGCTTCACTCTCTAGTTATCATACCCTGGAGCTCCATAATTCCATCTGTGACTGTGTTGTCTCCAAACTAATAAGAGATTTGGATATACCCCCACTGAGACTAAAGACAAGTAGGAACAATCATCTCCTTGGTGGCTTTGAAAAACCTCAGAAAAGCAGGAGAGGAGAGTAGAGTGTGCAGTTCCTACATCCTGTTATCAACCATGTCTGCAGAGTCATGTTCTGTCCATCAAAGGACACAGGTGACATCAGTTCTTCCCTCCCAAAGCTCCCCCTGTGCGTTAAGCAAACAGGACTACACTGGCTGTTTCCACACAAGCCTGTTGCCCCAGTATTGTACTTGCAACACAGGTAGTGCTGGACTAATGCAGAGCATTTTGAACTGGAAACAGGTCTGAGGGGAGAAACGACAGGATCTGAAGGAAGCCTAAGGGGCAGTTCACATGACTTAGCAGCAAAGGGCTTTTCCTTTCTTATTCCAGGAATCCTTGTTAGGATCCTCTAAAAGGTTGTTCCAATGATTTCTGATCAATGTTTTTTGTTAATAAAAAAAAAAAAAGTTTTAGAAAAGAAAACCAATTACCACAAAGGTGGGGCTTGTACCAAAATGTTGAACCCAAGCATCTGTGTATATTGAGAAACTGGAATGTAATGGCACAGAGCAGTATCGCTTGTGTTATACTATACCTGCTATTTATCCCAGTAGCATAATGTTTATTTACTTGGTACCAGAAGTTAAAATATTTTCATTACTAAACAGTGTAGTAAGATACAATTCAAAGATTAATCCTGTATGCTGTACTATTTCATGCCAACTCACAATTAAAAAATGCCATTTCTCTTAGACCTGTAGTTAAAATGAGGAGTGCTTACAAGGATGTCTTCTAAAGAAAGACTTAAAAGCATAATTACAGGGATTTCTTCCTATCATTATAGTAACCAGTTCCCACCAGGCTGTAAGGAGCAATGCAAACAACTGGGATAAAACCTAGTGAAAGTGTATCATTTTCCTAGATCCCAAAACTACTCAAGTGAGAAAATATAAAATTGGCTGCAAGGAAAAATTAGCTGCATAAATTAGAGATCTATAAAACACTGAAACATTTTAATTGTTCCCTGGCTGCTGGGACCTAATGATAAGATTCTTTTCAGAAGACTCTGAAAAAAAAAAAAAAAAAGTAGCCTTGTATACTCCTTGGGCCCAGTTTACTTCTCAGGTAAACAATGAGTATCAGGAGTTACTCCACTAAAGCACATGGAGATGAAAATGGATAAAACTGATATACTGTGAAAAGGTATCAAGTCTAAATATGACACTTGACAGACTTTAATCTATTTTCATAGAATCATAGAATAGATTTGGTTGGAAAAGACCTCCAAGATCATCAAGTCCAACCCCTGATCCAACTCTAATTACTATATCATGGCACTAAGGGCCACGTCCAATCTCTTTTTAAAAACCTCCAGGGATGGTGAATCCACCACCTCTCTGGGCAGGCCGTTCCAGTGCCTGATTACCCTCTCTGTAAAGAATTTCTTCCTAACATCTAACCTAAACCTCCCCTGGCAGAGCTTCATATTTTCACCCTGAGTACAAGTATTGCTCAATGAACAGCAAGTGCAGTACTAAAACCTGAGGTTTTTCAGTCTCTTCAGGCTTTTGTTTTATGTTTGACTGGTTCCTCCACCAGTAGAAACTGGGCTTTGCATGATAAACATGTATACTTGCAAACAGATAAATATACTTGCAAACAGCTGTCTTTCAAATATTCCTCAGGTTCAAGCATTAGATATAAAAAAACCCCTCAACTGATGCCCTTCCTCAGTTCAAGTATTACAAGCTTTTTAAGAAATTTTATTTCATGTTTGTGTGATTTGAAAGCATTGGCCCTTGGCCCAAAGGAGCCTCATCTTTCTGCCATGCTTGTACTGAACTGTCTCCTGCTGGCTTCTGAGCACATGCTGCTCACACTGAACATTGCTTTTGCTTAAAGGAGCATCTGCCAACAGTTCCTAAAGCCAGTGAGAAGATGTTACTTAACTTCCATAAGTTTGAATGGGCTTTTTGGATGCATAACCTCAGAAAGCTTTTTAAGCACATTTGTTTTATGTTTAAAAAGCAGCTGTACAGACTTCCTAAACAAAATCAGAAACCCACTCCCCCACCCCACCCCACAACCCATCCAAAACCAACCCAATAACAGGAAAACAATCCGAGAGAGGTGCTTATTTGTGTCATTTTCCCTGGGTAAACATCTAAGAAATACAGGCATGAAATATGAGCTGTATGAAGTCTTGCTATGACAATGAGCTACGTTAAATGCAGAATGGTAGATCTAAAAAAACAATGGCCAATTTCAGTGTAGAGTAGTTAGAAAATGCATGCATCAAAAGCTATGCTGTGTGCAACATGGCAGGATACAGACATTAGTTGAAATGGACTGGAGTCATGCAATTATTTGGAAAGAAGCTGCTGAGGAGAATAAAAAAGTGTGGATACCTGTGTGGATCATAGCTTCCTCCATCTTTATTTCCTGATATAGGAAAATACAAGAGTAACTTTTGTTAGTGTTTAGAACTTGTAAAACCATTCACAATGTAGTTTTCCATGCACAGCATCTAATTCCTAAAAAGAAATGTACGGTGTTAAGTAAAGACAGAGCTGCAGTCCAACAAAGATTTCCTGGAAGTTTTATGTAAAAGAACTGGAAACCCATAGTTTTTCAAAAGTAATAAAACCCCCAAACAATTAGATATTGTAAAAAAGAGAAATATTTGTAGCTGAAGAAAGAGATACAAAGATGCAAAACCACAAATTACGTAGAAGAGAATATTCCTGTAAAAAAAAAATCACAATATTCAATTAATCAAATTTAAGTGCAATGAATTACAGAGTTATGAAGTATAAACAACAGCTATTTTTGTACTCAGAGAGTCTTGTAAAGAAATATTCCTTTCCCCAAAAATGGAGGAGACGACTACCACTGATTAGAAGTTTGCAATGTTAAGTCTCAGTTGTGGTGTAGAGCCTTGTTGTTCATACAGGCAGACAGCAATTGGAATAAACACAGGATTTAATACCTCACCTGCTATTAGGAGGCAAAAACTAAACAAATAAACCCTGCAACAGAGAAGAGAGTTGTGACTATGAAGATCTGCATAGGCTTGTTATTGACTCAAATAACATGATAGCCTTTCTGCACCATTTCTATCAAACATTGGTTTTTGCCACCAATATCCATCTAGAACAACCTGTGCAAACTTGCAAAGATGCTTCCTGGTCACACAGTTACTCAGGATGGTTTATGTGGATCATTCCAAATTATTCAGAGCAAAATTTAGGAGAGCAACTCTTCATGGATAAAATCAGTACTTAAGCAGATTTTCAAAAAAGGAGTAAAAGGGAAATAAACATTTCTATTATTCTTGTACCTGTTTCAAGTCCCTTTGGCCTTGGGTTGCATTGCTTGTAACCTTGACAACTTCGCAGTTCCATTAGCTGTATGTGTAATTGGTTCAAAATGCCTCTTTCCACCGTATGTACTGTATTTGTCAGCTGAGAAAAAGAGGAATGGAGGGAAAAAATACTTGTTAGCAGAAATAATAATAATAAAAAAAAACCCTAGAAGAGTCTGGCAAATAACATTTTGTGACAGGGAAAGGGTTTTACCTGATAGGGATCAGTGTTCATATCAAAATATTCCAAGAAGCCAGTCGCAAACTCACAAAAGAGAAAATTGTGGGTGTCATTAACTGTTCGCAAACACCAGTAAGTGTTGTTATTTGAGCTTGTGCAAGCACAGAAAGAGCCCACTGTAATTGAAGAAACAAGTTATTAGCTTTCAGTGAAAAATAATATGCTTGTTTCTTCTAGAGAAAACTCTATAGATTTTCACATACTTAAATTCTAGATCAATCTAACAAAACTTTTCCATTTGAGTGTTAGATTCTCATCTGAAACGGAATAAATGTTGCTAGCATGTAATTTTCACAAACATACAGTTAACAAAAGCAGAAGATAGTGAATCCTATAGTTAATGAGGCATATTCTGTTCTGAGTTATATATGGTTTATTGGGATTGAGCAGAATCCAGGCTTTACAAAAAACCAACACAAATCCTGATCTTTAAGATTTTTATACACGATTCATTGGAATTGCTTACTATATATAAGAAGTTACTGTGTTCCCCAACAGTAAGTAACCATAACCTAGTACAGCCTCTGAAATGCAAGTACAACAGACAATTACAGAACTGTAAGCACTACAGAGGAAGGCCAAATTTATAGTTGATATAAAAGTGAGATGGAAATGGCACAGCAGCCAAGAAAGAGTGAAGCAGTGTATGGGGGAATGAGGCAAGTGAAAGAGACCAGGCAATGAAGAGATGGGTTTGCAAGCAGGGAGCTTGCCTGACAGCCTGAATACAGGAAAGATGGAAGAAGCAAGGTGGGAAGGATAACCAGTGCATAATCCCATGCCTCATTTTAAGCACCTCTCCATTATTGCTTGAGTTTTCCACTTAACTATTATTTTGAACTGCAATCCCTTATTTTGTTTATTTGATACACAAATAAGAGGGAAATTTAATCATTTAGTCAGGCCTTTGTAGGACAATCCCAAGCAGTGTAACTGGATTATAACTTGTTTTCACTTTTCCACCTGGGGAAACCTAGAGCTAGAGCTTCCACTCCAGACTGAAGACACCTGGATCCAGGTGTCGTAGTGATGGGAGCAGCCATAGAGGTGACCTGAGAATATTTTGTTTAGAATCCGGTTCTGCCACCAGAAAAGGCTGCAAGAACGTTATCTCTCTTAATTTTCAAACAAACTGCTAACAAAAGTTTTTCTGTAGAAGAATGTCTCTCTAATTCCAGTAATGAAATATTAATATTACCTTAGATTTTTATTTAGATTTATTTAGATTGGTTATTAGCATTATGACTAGCTGTAACAGTATCAATGTTTTGAACAAACTTCATAAAAATACTAATGGTAGAGTCACAGAATCAAAGAATAATTTGGGTTGGAAGGGACCTTTAAAGGTCATCTAGTCCAAACTCCCTGCAGTAAGCAAGGACATCTTCAACTACATCACATTGCTCAGAACCTATCCAACTTGACCTTGAATATTTCCAGGGATGGGGCATCTACCACCTCTCTGGGCAAACTGTGTTTCAGCACCCTCATTGTAAAAAAATTCTTCCTTATATCTAGTCTAAATCTACCTTTTTCTTTCGAACCATTAGCCCTTGTCCTATTACAACAGGCCATGCTAAAATGTTTGTCTTCATCTTTCTTATAGGCCCCCTTTAAGTATTGAAAGTCTACAATAAGCTCTCCCTAGAGCATTCTCTTCTCCAGGCTGAACAACCCCAAGTCTCTCAGCCTTTCTTCATAGGAGAGGTGTTCCACCCCTCTGGTCATTTTTGTGGCCTTCCTCTGTGGAGGACTCCAACAGGTCCACGTCTTTCCTGTGCTGAGGACTCCAGAGCTGGATGAAGTACTCCTTGGTGGATTCTTACCAGGGCAGAGTATGGGGGTCTCACCAAAGCAGTATTGGTCCTTTTTGTCTGTGTAATGTGAATCCATCCATCAACCCTTCTTTAAGCTATGGACTGTGTCAAAGGGACACTTTTTTACCCCATGACTATAGTTGGAGCATTGCTAGAATGCACAGCAATATGAGAATGCTTTTCATAATTGTTTTGTTACTCCACAGTTAAAAAGTAATAAGCCAATTTAGTTGTTGTCTTTAAAACCAAAACTATGCATATGGCTGCATTACGAACTTCTTAAAATGTAAAAAGTGTATTAGCAGAAGTCCTAGTGCAATCATAACATCACTAGGAGACAACATTTTTCTCCAAATGAAAAATTGCTCTTAGCATATTTTCTGCTTGGAGTAATATATGTTGTAACTTAATCATAATTTGATCTTGAAGTTTTTGAAAGTAAAGGTTTCAATCACTTTCCTTCCTCCAGCACCAAAGATGAGAAAGGTGTTGTTTTGTTAATGCTGAATACCAAGAAATGTTGCAGCATGCCTCTATAGGATGGTTATCTATATACCCTGAAGATTAAAGGAACTTAAAATATTTTGTTCTTATACATGAAGTGAGCATTCCACAGTTGTGATTTATGAATTCTTTTAGAATATAAAAATTAGGAATAATAGGAAGTATTCATAAGGGAAAACATCTGTATTTTCTTCACAAAAAGGTAAGTTGTTTATGACACACTTTGAAACCAAAATGATCAAATTAAAGTAGACCTTTTATGTGGTGAAGTTTGTGACAACATTAAAGATCGAGTCCCAAAAAGGATTTGTGAAAACTGGAAGAATAAGGTTATTATTAATAACTGGAAACCCAATTAAAATTCCTATGAAGTATTTGGTCATTTTGGTCTCCAGGAGATGACACAAATCTTAGTGGCTTGTTATGAAAGTCTATGTTTTATAGGCCAATTCTCATTCTTGTTTCTCTGGTGTTTAGCCTCAAGCCTCTTGTGATAATTTCATATAAGTAATAATACAACAATTACAACCTACTCAAGAGACATTCTTCCTTCATACTTCAGAATAATGGCAGCAGCAGCATTATTAAGTGCCAGTTCGTCAAAATAATGCTCTGATTGCATGAAGTGGAAACTCTGTAACACAGCAGAATAACCGAGATAGGTCTGCACGTGGACATAAGACCTACAGTTCCAGAAGGGTGCTGTTTGCCAGTGGTTGTTGTCGTGGGTAAAACACGTCAGTCCAGGGAGGCTACACTCATCTCCTTTCTTCTGGCGCTTTTTCCCCTTCCTTTCCTTCTTCCTTCTCCGGTTCTCTTTGAACAGCTGCAGTTTGCCATCCACTTCCTGTGCTGCTTCTCTGTTCAGAGAGAAAGTTGGGCATGGCTGACAGAGAACAGTCTGTATTTGGTTAACAACAGCGCTATCAGTTTTTACATCTTTCTGGAATTTTTGAAGATGAAAGGATGAGAATATACCCATCTTCTAGCTCAGCTCCCAACCCAGCTGTTATGACATGGTGTTCTCTTCAGTAGGCATGAGAAATGATGCACTGTTGCATTTAGATTTAACTAGATCTTTTTCACAGTTGTGAGGTCAATCAGCTTCTAATTTAATCCATTTTCTACAAATAGGTTTTAAAAATATTATCCACAAGCTTTCACAAGTCTGCCCAAAACTACTCAAGGTTTCTAGTGAGAGTGTGCTATATGTGACCTTTTCTTTCCTTCACTTCCTCCCTTCCTCTTGCCTCGACAAAATCCCCAAATAAAAAAAAAAAAAATAATTTCTCCAGTCACCAAAAAGCCAGCTGAGAGAGTGAGAGTATGACAACAGTCTTACTTAAAGGGATGAAGATGGCTCTTGAGTTTCTCTTGGGCCTTTACTCCTTTCTCTTTGTTGTAATAGCTACAGGGAAAATTATTAGGAATTATCAAGTCATTAAACCATTTTCAAAACAAAAACAAACCAGAAACATACCATCTGACATTTTCTTAAGGAACTACACAGAATGATTTACAATTTTCACTTTGTTTAAAGAATTTATATCTGTGTGAGTGCTCCTATGTTAGATTAGAGCAAAACTACATCTGGGTTCAAATATGTTAGTAGAATACTAACACATTTGATCTTAAAATTTTAACATTTATCTTCCTTTTGATTCTCAGTAGCTTCTACTCTTAAAAGGGATCTAGCTAAAATGAATACCTACAGTAGTTATAAATATCAATAAAGCTTATGTTCTTTCTTTTCTATCTCATGTGTAAGCCTTAGAAATCAGTGTAGTTTTCAGTGTTGAATGTTGTCTCTCTTACCTCTGTTTACTACAGTCACATTCATCTGGTTTTCTTCTTTTTAGGTGTCCTCTAACTTCCCTCAAATTCTTAATTTTGTCTTGGAGCGCTTCAATCTGCAGAGAAGTCAGAATTATTCTTAGAAAAGGTAGCAGTGCAAAAACTTCATTCAGATTTTAAAATACCTCTTACCTCCTTATCAATATAAGCCTTGTGGTCCTTCCAGGCTCTAGCAGATTGGTACAGTTCCCTCTCACAATGAATAGTGTCATTTGGAAGAATAAAACATCTGTAGACATGAGTTTAAGAAATAGGAAAAAGAAAGTCAGTGGTTTCCCAATTCCTACCCATTTATTCTAACATTCCTAATAAATTCTTTGTTATACTCAGTTAAGAAATAAAGTCTATGAGGTCTTCTCATGTTGACTTAATAATATTAATAATTGCTTCAATATTTTTTTTTCCTGCAAAATAAAAGAAAAATCCTCATCTATGACAGATGCTCTGGTTTTGCTAAGCAAAAATGGAAAGGCAATGACATCCTGGAGATTCCTAATCCAATAAAATGAAATTGAATCTGAAATAAAAATCTGTTCAGAATTTAAAGCCTCTTGTTAACCAAATGTGCCATTTCTTATTTAATCACCAGCTGCTGAGAAATATATTCCTTTTGCCACATGAATGTGACTCATCTTCCAAGTTTGCAAAACAGTCAAGAACAGAACATACAGTCAATGGGCTAAAGAGCAATATAATCAATAAAGATCAATAAGAATCAAAGTTAGACCAAAGAGTTCAAATAAATGGTTAAAAAAAAAGCCAACAGAACACTCAAGTTAAAAAGTGTTGCAATGTCAAAACCATTCACACCAATGTTTGAAAAAACAGCTCTACCAAGAGACAAAAAAACACATGGGAGGCCACAGATTTACAATGAGATAGAAAATCCAGCAGACTACAGGGCTAGGCTTTTAAAAACTCCATGCTAACAAACAGAAAATCCTTAATTATGGAAATACTGCAGTTATACGGACACAACCTCTCTTGGGTCCTACTTCATCAGAATCCTTCTTTTAATTTTTGAGAAGAATAGCAGAAAGGAAGATTTAGATGATTATCTCATCCCATGTTATCCCATTATGTTTTTTCCTTCACTCAAAGATTTCTGAATAAAATACTGTATTCAGTACAAGTCAAAACACTTTATGGAGAAAGAATAACTTCTCCAGAAAGCTATTTAAGGCTTTATTAATGCCACAGTTGGAAATTATCAATGTAAAAAAAGGACAATTTTTACTTATTAAAAAAAAACTTTTATTTTTTCCTTGTGTTAAAAAAAAGAGAAGGAAATAAAAGACACAAATGCTATTTATATTTTAAACACAATTAAAAGGATAAAATAGAAGATTTTTGTTGCCTGTGTCTGCCTAAAAACTAAAAAAAAATGTTTTGAGATTTTTTGCTATTTCACTCAGATTTAGTGTAGGGCTAAAAACTTAAATCTAAGCATCTTCCAGGATGGAAAATTGATTGTGGGTCTCTTCAGGGATAGACAAGTCTAATGTATCTTAGCTATTGTTAGTGGCTGCAAGCAACTAAGCATTAAGAAAGATGATGTAACTAATCTAATCTGTCCTCATTCAGAGTGGGATTTCAGTCATCTCAGATTTAGGCCTTTATGCTAAGCTGGTAGCCTAGACTTTCTGAAGAACAGCGGGAGCATCAGCTTCACAGAGTGATTAATCCATCATGAGATACATGTTTTAACAGAGAGGATGAATCTCCCTCTGGAGGTACCTACTCCTCCTCAGAAATAAAACTTGAACTAGATGCCTCCCTTTAAAATACACATAGTAAAGTTAAATGATTCCACCTACTAACAAATCCAGCTCAGGTTTATCCAAAATCTATGATGATAGTTTTGAGTTCTTAAATATTACAACTATAAAATAATAAAAAAATGAAGGAGAAAGAATACAATTAGAAAATTTAAAAGATTTAATTTTAAGAAAAAAAAAAAACAATGCAGAAAAAGCAATCGTACTTGTGCGTCACTTGGACAGAGTTGGGTTGACCTATGGCATCAGTGCCATCAGCAATCATTGTGTCACCAAGAGCACCATTCGTTCTCTCTGCTTCTTCCTCATTTTCAGCGTTGTGACGCTTGGTGATACTTTTGGTTTTTAACACCTGCAGTTCTTCCTCTTCAAGATTTATGTCATATATTTCACCTTCAAATTCCACAGACAAGGACCGGGTTTGTCGAGTGTGAACAAATCGGGGTTTGTATTCTGAAGCAGAAGAAAGAAACATTCCTGGTTGCATATGAATATCTACATGACCCGTGTCATGAAAGCATACTCCAAATAGCAAAAAAGCTGTTCAGTAAAAACAGCTTGTTTTTTCTGTGGCTTTACAGAAACTTATTTAATGTTTTTTTGATAGGTCAAGGCCCACATTTTCATCTGTAGAATTAAGTTTTGATTGCTTCAAGGCTTGCATTTTGTGCTAGTCTGACCTTATGTCACAGTTAGCATCTATATCTCCAAATAAAATCAGTGTCTTAGAAATCAGATACCTAGACAGAGACACTCAAAAAATCAGAGACCACAGGATTAGAGACCACTTTAGGAAATAAAACCATTCAGTACTGTGAACAAGGTCACCACCTGTAAATTGGCATATGACATAAGCTTGACTTAAGCTTTAGAATAAAAATAACTTTTCAAAAAGCTAAAACCTTTTCCTTCTTAAAGGCAGTCACTGAAAGGGCAAGAATCCACCATATGTATATGTATATGTATATGTATATGTATACGTATACGTATACGTATATATAGGTGGACACACACACCATCCGTATCTATGTGTACAAGGATAATGTATGTGTCGAAGTATATATAACCCCTTTGAGGGGTGTGTGTACAAGATTACCCATGTTTGGACTTACACTTTTTACTTCTTTTGTTAAATGTACTTGTTCCCAATCAAGCTGATAAAACCCACAGTCAATACCACATGAAAGCAAATTCTGTCTATCAAAACCACACACAGAGAACCCTAGAAAGACATATTTCAGCTTATAAGAACCAGTTGTAGGGCATTTCTATTTGTTACATCTATGCTGAGCACACCTTTGTCACCTAAGAGTTAATAATTCATGCAGCAGAATAAAACCGGAGCTGTAAGAAAGTGCTGCCTTTGGCAGGTAGTGTCTGTTTTACTGCAGCTTTTATGTTAGTGCCTTTGAGAGACTCTCGCTGAACCTTTCCTGCAAGAATCTTTTAGAAGTGCAGCTAGTGAGCCTCATTCAGCTCTTCATTCAAACCACCCTATCCTTCTGAACTGCTTCAGTGGCTGCCTGCTGTCAGGTGAAAAAAGGCTTCCCAGTCAAGTCAATGAAGACATTCATCTTCCTGAAGAGAAAATCCCTAGTTTCAAAGTATCTTTCTGATTTATAACCATATTACTCTCTAATAAAATAATGCAGAAAGATTCATAGGGTCAGATGGGACAATTTCTGGCAATATAACAGTCTCTGATGAGATTACTTATTAATTAAGTCACTGAAAGAGTCTGGAATATATAAGCATCTTAGCCAGATGTAATCTAAAAACTGATGTCTGAACTAGTCATTCTCTTAACAATCAATGTCTCATCATCATGAGTCTTTCTCTGCTCTACTCAAATGAATGCTAAGGTGGATTTGGAGGAGGAGTAGGAAGGAAGAAGAATAAGAACGTTATAAAGAAGAAAATCATAACAAATAGACTTTTTCTGATGCTCCTTTCAGATATTTTCCATACTTTTTCTCTTTCTCTCCCCAAAAAACTTTCCCCCCAGTTGCAAACCCCATTCAGCCCTTGCTGGTATGCTGGCAACACCTTCTTTCTGTCTTGGTTTTTGCTAGGATAGAGTTAATTTTATTCTTAGTAGCTAGAAAGCACTGTGTTTTGGTTTCAGTGTGGGATTTGTTATGAGAAGAATGTTGATAAGGTAGTTGAAAGCACCTTGGGTAGTTTGAAAGCACAAAGGACTGGGAGGGGGAAAGTGATAGTAGTTAGTAAAACCCAGAACTGACAGTTGGATATACCAAGAAGATATTCCATATCATATTACATCATGTTTAGTATATTAACCAGGGTTGCCCGGAAAGGGAAGGGATTCTTTTGGGAATCGCTCAGGCTCGCTTTTCCGGGATTGCCATTTTGGGTCCTTGTTGCTCCTCCGGGTTTGTTATCAGAGGGTGGTGAACAATTGTACTGTGCATCATCCATAGATTTATAGTTGTTATCATTATTATTATCATTACTATTTTAAATTTATTTTACTGTGATTATTAAATTGTTCTTATCTCAAGTATCCTTACCTTTACCCCTCCAATTCTCTCCCCGATTCCCTAGGGAAGGCGGGCGGCGGGGCAATGCGAGGGTCTGTGTCTTGTTTGGCTGCCAGCTAAGTTAAACTATCATACTTTCCAAGGTACACAACAGGTATCTCCCCTTCAAAATATCACTTCGGGGAACATTGCCCAGTTTGGGAATTAGCCTGGCAGTGTGTGACACACAGACTTTTCAGCAGAAGTCTGCCTGTAAGCACTATGAAGTTCCTTAGATCACACTAAACAAATGAAAGAAATTATATGAAGGCAGCATTTAGTCTGAACAATGAGACAACTCAGGACAGACAATATTGTGGTTGAATGTACAAAGAATACCAGGGATTCTTGTTCACATGCAGAGTGGGAGAGCCTTTAAACCAGGAAATATTTTGAATTATACTAACATTATTTTCTTCTTCCATAGACATCTGTGCAGCATCTTCCAACTTTTGCATTTCTCTTATGACTTCACTATCTTTCCATTTTAAAGACCCAACTTTATCTTATTCCCCAGTTTAGTATTTTCGATAGAGAGCAGGAGAATACAGCCTGCTCTTGAACAAAGTCTGAAATCCAGGGCCGCTTGTGTTGCTATAGCTACAGAACTTCACTTTCATCGCTGGACAGATAAATGAAGATACGCGTTCCATTTAAAAGAATGGTTTCGTTAAATACGCTGCTTTTGCAGAAATCATTATCAGAACACGTTATCCAAGTACTGCCTTGCACATTCCCTTCAGCCCACGCTCCACTAGAGGACACTGCAATCCCACCCGTGTCCCTGCAGGAACGCCGGCACTGACTTGCTGGGACGGTCCGGCCCAGCCCAGCCAGCAGAACCTCAGTCCGAGGGCAGCCACGGCTCTGCCCTGCCTCACGCAATACATGTCCTCGGGCTAGCGCCAAACAGCCTGTGGATTCCGTGCTAATGACTCCGCAAAGAACGGCACCGATGGAGCCGCAGGTGCCACCCGGGTTGTCATGTCTGAGCAGCGCGATAGGTGGCACCAGCGCATCATCACCACCACCACCACCGGCCCGAAGACATTCCTCACTGTGATCCAAAGGATAAATATTGTTGTCATTATTACTGTTGTTACGAAGGCAATTATGTAGGATTTGACTGCTAATTACGGATGTATTCATTAGACACAGAGGTGAAAGCAAGAGTGGACTGGTAAGCCAACATGCTGCTAGCCATTCCCCCCTGCTCTTTGCCTCAGAGGCCGAGAGATCAGGTAACACTTACTTTGCACGTTAGGGTTTCTCAAGAATTGTCTTTGATTTTTTCTTTGGGTCCTGCTGTTTCGATAATCAGGATCTGCACAGTTGCAGTCTTTGTCTTTACCGCTGTATCCCCGGGAGTGTACGCTGCGGGTCCGTTTTCTGATGGCAAGTATGTCGCTCGGTACCTTACACTTGTGAATTCGAAGTTTGCCAGAAGCATCCTCCATGCACTGCCACTTCTGTGAGAGAGAGAAACAAATATGATTTCCCTGCAGCCTTCCAAACCCCTGCTATTTTCATGTGGATTGTAAAACAAAACAGGATAATTTCTCTAAAAATGGAGTAGTCCCTTAAATAACAAACTGAGAAGGGAAAGATTTTAAAGGACTAAATTCACTCACATTCTTTGCAACATCTCTCTCATGCTAGGCAAACATAAGTTTGAATGAAATCACTGGAAATCTGCATAGAAAAATACAACCCAGCCAAAAAAGATATATAAATCAAGAGTATCCAGACTAAACACTTCCCTGAAAGGAGCAAGTTAAAAGTCTTAATTTACTGAACCACAGAGTACAGCTGTCAGGGCTGTTTTCACCAACTCTTTTTTTTTTTTCTTTGAAAAAACAGACTTCGTTTCTTTGTTCTGTGAGTTGGAATTTCTAACATGATTCAGGGGAAAACAAAAAATCCCTACAGATGAAGAAGAACTGGTTCAGTCGTAGGGTTCCTTGGCAAAGAGAAGGACAAATTGCGGGTGTGATTTATAGAAAAATACATAAACCACTAACAACATGTAATTTATTTCCTTACCAGTCGTTAGGGTTAGAACCTGCCCCCTAAGACATGTCCCTGCAAACCGTGCCACTCAGACCTGCAAACATTGCTGGTGCTTTATATTTTACATGAGAAGGGAGGAGCCTAAAAGCAGGATACCCCTAGCCAGCCTCCCTACACCCAGCAGGTGCAAGCAAGGGGAAGAATCTTAGGGATAGTCAATAAATAAATTAGCTTGGATAAACTCCTTTGGATGCCTAAATCTTGAGGTTTATATCAGATTTGGGAGAAAAAGTTGTAGCCTGGAAGAAGTACCTGTAAAAAGCATCGCATTCACACTGAATATCAGAGCTAGTGCAGGAGAATGAGAGGAAACAGTTTTTTCCAGCTTGTCTGCACAATATCTGTCTGACTTGATTATCAACATCACTGAACCAGATGGGACACTCTAGGTGGATTTTTTTGGTGGATCCCATTGTCTTTATGTTTCAAATTAAAAAGCAACTGGGACTTTAATTTCCTTTCCACACTGACCTGTCTTAAAAAAGTGAAATGTCATTTTTTTAAAAAACATGGATAGGTGCTGACAGATCAGAGCTCTGCCCATGCCCCAAGCTTGCCATGTATGGTTTCTTGGTTCTAGCTGGCACCTGTAACACCCTATACAAACTAAGAAGCCTGTGAAGATTTTTAAGTCAGTTGTAGTCCAAATAACAATAGGGAAAACCAGAAATAGCTATGTTTATTTAAAATTCGAATGCAACTAAAAATGAATATTAACCAATGAGTTTTGTTCACTTGTGCATCTTAAGCCACAATGAAGAGACTCTGCATACAAAGCAATTAAGTTTGGCTGAATAGCGTAGGGAACAAAACTCACTAATGTTATTGATAACTGGAACCTTTTAGTTGCAGTTTCAGCTAAGTTTCCCTATAATGTGTCCTTTTTTGGTTCCAGTGACTGAATAGCATGCTTTATCTTACTTCATTGATAATAGGAAGACAGCCAGGTCCCAATGGAATCCTCAACTTAACTTTTTAAATGGACATTAATGTCAGAGCAAGCACATTTTGGTAAGTCTCTTCCAGGGAGACTAATGGCTGCTCTGAACTGTTTTGGGGTGCTGTCAAGCTGACTGAAGAATGAAGAAAGAAAACTAAGCCTCAGGTAGGTTTGCTGACCTGATAACCTGAGGAGCGAGCTGATGTGGCTCTGAACCACAGCACTGTGGGAGCACTCCCTGGCCTAACATGTGGGCTGAGCTAAAAGCTGTATCCCATGCTCAGAGACCTTGACTGTGGATTGGCATGACTTTGATGCCAGAATAGTAAACCATGTATAAAAGGCCACAGACTTGCACACTTCTGATAGCTACCTGAGAACTTACAATCATGCCCAGACTTTCAGTGTAAACCTACACCTACAAGTAACAAGGTTGACTTTCTACAAGGAAAGGTATCAGAGAGCTATAACACTTTGCAGGGTTTTATTCTGCAGTAGCATTTGCACTCTTCCTACTGCAGCAAGAGAAGACTGTTGCAGGATAAGAACTGACTGCACCACTGTATTTCCTGTGTTTACTGGGTACACATTACATTTATAAACATATGGCATCAGTTTTTAATGAGTCTCAAAAGCAACATTTTAAAGTAAAATAAGTATTCTCTTTGTCTAACATTAATTATAGCAAGAGGTTCCAGGAGTGGCTTCAATAGCCATTTAGATCATTTTTAACAGTATTATGACTAACACTGAAACAAGACTCTCTGTGTCTAGTACTAGGCAATAATAGTTCTCTATTTAAAACAAGGATTAAATGTGATTCAGTTACTTTTTTTTTCTTTAATTTACTTTAAAAAGTGTCATTATAAAGATGCTTCAGAGTTCTAAGATGGAAATTTTAGACTAACTTTCCTGAATCCTTGCCCATGTCAGTGTAATTGGGCACTGAACATGCATTATGCAGTAAATCATAATGGTCCTTCTGCTCATCTTTAGATCTATAAAATGCATTAATGCATATAAAAGAAGATTTTGACTGATGCACTGCCCCTTTCCCTCCCCTGTTTCTACCTTCCTTTCCACTATGAATACTAAACTATTCTTTGAAATTCAGGACTTTTTTTCCTGGGTCCCAATTTCTCCATCAATTAAAAAATATTGGCACATGCACAAATTAAATATGTCTTCATTAAATTTTAATTTGTATATGCTTTTTTTATTTTCCCCATGTTTATCTTCCTTCTCATGGCAATATTCCACCAGACACCTAAGCCAGTCTAACTATTCACTGTTGCCATAGGAATATGGGATAGTCCCTGCTTCTGACTGCATGCTGACTTTGGGACCCCTGTGCTTATTTATTCTCTCTCAGCAGGAGAAAGGAAGACTAACTTAGAATTTTTTAAAAAACTAACCAACTAATGGGAGAGGAGAAGCAAGACTCTGCCATTTGGCTGCAATGAACTTTTACATGATTTCAGTAATGTTATGAAACTTAACCTGTGTCAGCCTTTTGCCCTGTCACTGACTCCTCTTTTCTTTCTTTCATCTCATCACCTACCCTCCACCAATGATTTCCCTCTCACGTCAGCCTCCCATTTCCAGTTTTTCTTCCTTCTCAATTTAACTTCAGAGGGGAAGTAAACATGGAAGATGATCCTTAAGAGCCCCACACCACACCAATGGAGTCCTGAAACCCCCCACCTCAAAGCTGGTGGGACCATCCCGCTGTGAGGGGCTTTGCTGGTTTAGAGTTGTTTCACACTGAAGCAGGGGCTGTTCAGCACATGTAGGCACAGCTCTGGCTGGCTCCACATGTGCTGGCTGCCAGCTATTCCCAGAGCCCTCCCTGCTCCTGACAGCAAACTACAGAGGCAGTTTAGGAGAGATAAAAATGTAAAAGGACTGAGAATCCTGTGAGGAGTGGCTGAGGAAGTTGGGTTTGTCTAGTTCGGAGAAAAGGAGGCTGAGGGGCGAGCTCATTGCTCTCTACAGCTTTCTGAGGAGGGAAGTGGAGAGGGAGGTGCTGATCTCTTCTCTGCAGGATCCAGTGGTAGGACGCATGTGAATGGTTCAAAGCTGCACCTGGGGAGGTTCAGACTCGACAGCAGGAAGCATTTCTTTACTGAGAGGGTGGTCAAACACTGAAACAGGCTTCCTAGAGAGGTGGTCATTGCCTCAAGCCTGTCAGTGTTTAAAAGTCATTTGAACAATACCCTTAATAGTATGCTTTAAATTTTGGTCAGATTCTATTCTATTCTATTCTATTCTATTCTATTCTATTCTATTCTATTCTATTCTATTCTATTCTATTCTATTCTATTCTATTCTATTCTATTCTACTATTTGGGAGCTCACACTGCTTTAATCTCTGCCAAACCTGAAGTTTAAACACATAAATACACCTGCCTGCTCCTCGGTGTGGAGGCAAGCTCCAGACTGCAGTAGGACTGCAGCAGGAGCTATTCCATGGATGATGTCATTGGCATGATTTCTTCTGGGGGTAGAAGTTTGTCCTTATAAAGTAATTTAAAAGGCAAAGGGGAGAAAATGGGATGGTTAAAAGGGTATTGTTTGTACTTGGTGGCTTTGCTTTGTGCTACTACTGGCTGGGCTCCAGTTTTGAATTAAAGCTACATAAGCAAGACAACAGCAAGTGACGTGGTAACTACCTTGGGTCTCAGTTTCCTGGTATTAATCAGTTTGTGCCACTGCCTTAATATTAAGTAAGTCTATTTCATTACTGAATAGAATTAAGATATAAAAATGTACATTCAGTATGAATCATTGTGATGCGCTGCACTGTAAATATCCACTTAAGCTGGATTTCAAATCAGCTTTGTTTAGTTAATAGACTGTCACATCTTTGAGAGAGTTCCTGCCCCCTTATATAGAAAGGAAATTAATTAGATATTTCATGAAAGGCGTCTTAAGAGTAGGCAAGCTAAGGGTTTTTATTAAGTGTAATTACCCAGTATTTGCAGTAGACACTTCAGTGTTAAATAGCTTGTCAGATTTTATCACAAAGCTATGAAACCCTGAAAAACATGCAACCGGAAATATAACACGGTGACAATATTTTTACAGGTGTTTTTTGATTTTGGTAATGCATGACTGACTTTGAGTATTATTGCTCAGCCTAAAGAATGTTAAGATAAGGCATGAAAAGGAAGATTTCATAATTTTAAACATGTCCTCAAGATTTCATTTCCTTTTTTTCCTGTTTCAAAAAGTCTGATCTAAATTTGAAAACAGTTTCGATTAAAATATCCTCATGGGCTGTCTATATGTGTACCCTTTTCCTCTATTAGCAGTAACCAGATCTGGGTGAGTGTCAGGGGACCTGATGTGATTGTGCCACTAAGGGAGTCTGGTTTAGGGCCGTGCTACTGCAGTAAGAACTGAGTCATGTTTTTGCTTTCTCTGTGCCATTCAGAGAGGCCATGTCACATGGCATAT